AGGGTATCTAGCCTTTCAGACAAAGTTACAGGGAAAAGGGGTGGAGAGCCCCAGCTGGGGCCTGGGTACAGGGGGAGGTGAGACTTGACCTCCAGAACTTTCAGAAGTTCACATCCTGCTCGCGGGAAGAGGTCTACTGAGAGTGCCTGTCTTTTCCAGGCCAAGCCAGGGGAATGCCTCTCACTGCCTGAGCTGATGGAAGAACCAGTGACTCCCTCCAAGGAGACATCTGCCCAGTGCTAGACTGCCAGGCATGTTTGCTTCCCACCCTACTCTACCCCCATCAGTGGCACTGTCCTCAGGCCTGCCTTCTCCTCTCTCGCACCCACCTGTTCTCCCTTGCCCTCCTTTTCTTCCCTGTCGCACGCACCCAACCACCCACACACACACATACACACTGCATGTCCAGGCTCCCTCCTCCCCAGGCGTCAGGCTCTGTCTCCAGTCAGGGTAATCTCTGCCTGTACTTCTCTGTCCCTGAAGCACAGAGGACACATAAGCATTTGCTGACTTTGTTTCCACCAGCACAAATTTCTTGGGCCCCATCTGTGTGCATAACATGCCATTACAGATTGAATAGAAGAAATTCGGTCTTTCTGCTGCAGCTGTGGACAGAGCAATACTTCAGTGGGGGAAACTCTAGTGTGAAGCTCTATCCCCGCCCTAAGGAGTTTATTTAGTGGAGGCAGAATGTAGGGCGGTGGCTTGGAACCTAATGAGGGCATCAACAATACATCCTTCAGCAATCCAGAAGAGGGAGACTGGTGATAATCATAGTGCTAAAATACTAATCAGCATACCGTCTGCACTGCCCGAGACTGAGTGAGCCCTCTCCCCTCCTTCCCGGAAGGCACACACTCTTACTATCCCCCTTTTGCCATGAGAAAGCTGAGGCCAGGAGACATGGAATGAGATGCAGAGGCGGGCATTTCCCCAGGTCTGCCTGAGCCTTCCAGGGCTTCCCTGGGGAACATGGAGCTTGCACTGGACCTAGACCCAGAGGGGCATGTGTGGGAGGACACAGGGTGCTGCAGGTGAGCACCAACAAAGGCCGGGCCATTATTTGTTAATAACTCAGGCCTTTGTGCAGAGCCACTGGGTCCGTGGTTCTAGGCTTTCGTCTTTCATTGCCCCATCCCTCCCAGCTCTACATTAATAGGACAAATCATCAGTTATTTGGATTCAAATTTGACAAATCAAATTGCAAAGAATTAAATAAGTTGTAGATCAATACCATCCGAATGATCAATTAATCATTTCTTGTAATTAAAACTACCAATTCTTAATACCTTTCAGTTATATTTTATTGCACAATTTCTAATTCAGAGCTTTTAGGCAATTGTATTGATTGCAGGTATACTTATACTTGGTAATCAAATAATTTATTAATCAGCACACCTCGTTATGGGAGATCCAATTTAATTACCATCACCTAAACACAGAAGGCGGGTTTAATTCAACTTGGGCTTTTCTTAAGATGTTGGAAGTTTACCATTTCATTCTGTTGTGTGGTTCACACAAAGTCCCTTCTTTTGTGAAAAAGATTTATAAGAAAAATAGGCAAGGGTACTTACAAAGCAGGTAAATGGACAAACTCAAATGGTTCTTCAAAATTGTTGTGGTTTTTTTAAAGATTTTATTTATTTATTTGACAGAGAGAGAGAGAGAGAGAGAGAGACAGCGAGAGAGGGAACACAAGCAGGACGGAGTGGCAGAGGGAGAAGCAGGCTTCCTGCGGAGCAGGGAGCCCGATGCGGGGCTCGATCCCAGGATCCTGGGATCATGACCTGAGCCGAAGGCAGACGCTTAACGACTGAGCCACCCAGGTGCCCCCAAAATTATGTTTCAACTTTAATCTTTTTATAGAGGTTTTGCAACTTAATTTATTCCTGATATGCTTGGGAAAGTGCTCTCAAGATTTAGGGATGAAAGGGCCGTTGGACGTACAAATGGATGCTGCCTTCATGATTACCTTAAAATAAAAATTAAACACCAAGCACTTCACAATCGCCTTCCTTGTGTCCATCAATTTTGAAATAAATACAAGTAAAATTTCTTATTTAACCTATGAATTTATTATTCCAGTGACAATGCTGGACAACTGGAGTTTGACTTAACTTCCCTTAATGTTTTCTGAGCATCGTTATGAAAGGGAAACAATGACCTAGTAATTCTGCGTGCAGATCCTGCAGTGGCCCTGGATGGGCCTGAGCCTCCTTCTTGCTTCACATTCAAGGCCTCAGGGATGTCTTGGAGTGTCAAGGAGCCTAGTCCTCTCCAAGATGAAGGGGCCTCTGTTGGCTCTTGTTCGGCAAACATGGGATCCAGGTAGTAGTCTGGATCTCAGATTCTCCTGAGTATTGGGCAAAGTTTCCACAGAGGTTTTGAGTTGAGTCCAAGCTGAGTGGGTCCAGAACTTCAGAAGATACAGAGCTCTGATACCCTGGGGCAGAGGGAGGGGAAGCTGGGGAGGAGGGAGACACTCTAACACCTTCTTTGTCCTCTACGGGCTGCCAAAATTTTCAACTTATCCCTTCACTTACCCCCCACCTCTCTGACTACTATCTTCCCTCCAGAAAATGTATAATTCTCCATGAAAACAGCTTATCCTAGAACCATCTCTCCCAGGATTCTTCCCACTCTGCAGGGAGTGGGGAGGAAACCCTAACATGCCACATGACACATGGAAGACACAGTGCTCCCATGTGAGAACACATTTGCTCACCTTCCATATTGAGCTCTTGTGGAGTTGTGGAGCCCAAGGCAAGCAGGTAAAAAATGGGACAGCCCCATCCCATGCTGCTGCATGCTGTATGCAAGGCTCTTCACGATGGGGCACTGTGGTAGGCTGAACTCTAAGATGGCCCCAAGATTCCCACCCCTGGTTTATACCCCCTGTATGCTCTCTTCCTCTTGATGGTAGGTGGGCCTGACCTAATCAGGTGAGCCCTTGTCAAAGAGAGTCTAGAGGTTGGGGGTGGAAGAGGTCAGAGAGATCCAAAGATGGAGATTCTCCTGCTGGTCTTCAAGGAACAGCTGCCACGTTGTGGAGAGGGCAGTGTGGCAGGGAACTGTGGTGGCCTCTAGATGTCAAAGGCCTCTGCCCAACCACAAGGAACTAGGTTCTGCCAGTACCCAGTGAGCTTGGAAAAGGATTCTGGGCCTCAGGTGAGATCACATAGCCCTGGCTGACACCTTGAATACAACAGGGTGAGACTCTGAGCAGAGGACACAAATGAGCCAGGCCTGGACTACCGACCCACAGAACTGAGATAATAGATGAACATTGTTTTGAAAAGCTAAGCTTGTGATATTTGCTACACAATAGAAAACAAATAAAGGCCTCACTCTCCACCTCCAGGAGCCTCTTCTCTCCCACATAGCTTCTACTCTGCCCACTTGAAACTACTCGCCTCCATTGCTGCCTTCAAGCCTCTGGGGATGTGAGGTCCCTTCTGCCTGCTCCCCTTCTCCTAGAAGCAGACCCTGAGACAACAGTTGAGAGATGATGTTTATCTGGGAGGGAGAATGTGAGGCAAGGAAGGGAAGGCAGCCTGTAGTGTTATCAAACCAGTTACCACCATGGGCAACTGGAGCTGAATATCACACGCGAACCCTGGAGGCCAGTGTAGAACACACAGAGTTTCCCATCCAAAGGAAGGCAGTGAAGAAGCTGTCAGCCATTGTTGAAGGGCTGCTGGGGGTGGGGCGGCCTCGTTACTCTCGGCATTCCTAGCCTGCAGTGTGGGCAAAAGAGTTTTCAGACAGAGAGATTCAGGGGCTGGCACCTGGAGGTCCAGGGAGGGGATACAGGAAGGACCTTGCAGCACCTGCTACACCTGCTTTTCTACCTGCTTCCTCTGCCTGCATCTTCATGGCTAGGCTCACGTCCCCCTCACCAAGAGCACCATCCCCTGGGTCCTCCTGTTTGATCACGCTCTTCCATGGAGCCTTTGCTCTTTTAGCACTTGGCCTTGTTTTGTACATCTGTTGGTGTCTTCTCATTGAGTGTCACACAACTGGGCACACAGCATGGCTGTCCCCCTGAAACCATGAGCCTCTCCAGGTTGGCACCTGAGTCCCCAGCTCCAGCCAGAGTCTGGTATCTCGTAGCTTCTCAACATCCATTCAGTGGTTGGATACATGAATCATATTTTTTCTGAGGTACGTATTTCCCTCAACATGGTTGAACTAGGTGATTTCAACCCTCTCCCACCATCCCGGCACTCCCTTCCTCTCGTCCTGCTCTCTCTTCTCCATAGAACAAATGGCCATCTGGTATATATGTTTGTTGTCTATCTTCCTCACCTAGAGTGTAAGGTCCTGAAGGCCAGACACGTTTGTTTATTCTGTTCACTGCCGTATTGCTGGCAGGGGGCACACAGCATTACCTGGCATATAGAAGTCACTGGGTAAAGATCTTTTAAATGAATGCATGATACCCCAAGAGTCCTTAATTATAATAATATTAACGTACTGAGCAATTCCCAAACTTTATTTCATCTTGACAACATACCTCTGAGATAGGTATTATCTCCATTCTCAGATGAGGAAATAGGCTCAGAGGGGTTCAGTAACTTCCCCAAGTGACTCAGGCAGCAAGTGTCAGCCTCACCCAGGGGCCTGGGTTCTTAGCAAATATTCTATATACATGAGTTTAATTAACTCGATAAATTTTTCGGGGGGCACAAAATACAATCAGGGTGTAAAAAGGCGGAGGAGAGTTTTTGGTGTTACTGCAGCAGCTTGCTTGGCAAAAGATGGATGTGTGGCTGATAGGAAAACTGATATGGTTTTCAACAAAGCCTGCAAATTAATCATACTTAATGAATGTGACTAATGTGTTAAAGGAACGAGCGATTAAAATATTAGCACGTCTGAACTTCTCCTCCCTGGCTAATTTCTTCTCCTCCCTAGGGTTACCATCTTTCAAAGAGGTAGGGACACAGAATCATGGAAACGGATTTTATGGAACAGAAATGCATTTTAAATGGCTTAAATTGGGGACAGTCTGTGCAGTTCTCAAGTGGCTGTCAGTCTTCACATCTCGCTGCTCAAGCGAGGGACGTGGGCTGAGGGGAGAGGCTGAAACTGTCACAGCAACTGGAACTGGAAATGGGAAGCCAGGCATCTCCTGGGGTAATGGCGTGGAAACAGGAGACAGACGTGGGGGCCCTTCAGCGGGAGGCTGATTGCCTTTCCATTTAGGTACAAGGTGAGATCAAAGTGGCTGAGGCTTGTCTCCTGAGGCAGGCCATAGGCGGCTCACTGGCTCTGCACATTATCCAGGATCATAGGCAGAACTGATGTGTTATAAATACGTCCTGAAGACGATCTCTGGGGAATACAAGCACAGTCTTCTTAGAACACACTCCCCTCCCTGGCTCCACACACACATACCCATTGCCCAGATGGATGTAAGACTATAGGGAATAAGAAGTATCTCAAAATACAATTCAGACTTGGGACTGGGAGAGTCCCTTGGTTTTTTTTTGTTTTTGTTTTTATTTTTTTATTGTTATGTTAATCCCCCATACATTCCATCATTAGTTTTAGATGTAGTGTTCCATGATTCATTGTTTGTGTATAACACCCAGTGCTCCATGCAGAACATGCCCTCTTTAATACCCATCACCAGGCTAAACTAACCCATCCTCCCACCCCCTCCCCTCTAGAATCCTCAGTTTGTTTTTCAGAGTCCATCGTCTCTCATGGTTCGTCTCCCCCTCCGATTTCCCCCGAGAGTCCCTTGTTTTCCTGACATTCTACTACTTTTGGCAACAGATCAGGTTTGTTTTGGAATTGCATAAACCTGAGGTCCCACACTCAGAGGCCTCAGCGGATAGGCAGGTAATGTAACTCAGTGAAGTAGACAGGATGAGGGAGAACCCAGATCAGCAAGCATTTACCTCATTAGGATCTAGGACTAATGTGGTTAGATCTTCCAGTTTTTAGAGAAAAAACAAATGTGTACATGTGTGGGAGTGTGTGTGTGTGTGTGTATTAGTTTCTTATTGCTGCTGTGACAAATTACCACAAATTTAGTGGCTTAAAACAACACAAATTTATTGTTTTATAATTCTGGAGGACAGAAGTCTAAAATGGGTCTGCAGGGCTCTGTTACTTCTGGAGGCTCTAGGAGACAATCTGTTTCCTTGCTTTTCCCAGCTTCCAGAAGCTGCCCCAACTCCATGGCTCCAGGCACCATTCTTCCTTCTTCAAAGTCAACAGTACAACATCTTCTCCCTCTGATCTCCTGCTACTCTCTGATAAGGACCCTGTCATTACAATGGGCCCTCCCAGACGATCCAGGATAATCTCTCCATCTCAAGATCCTTAATCACATCTGTAAAGTCCTTTTGCCATGTAAGGTAACACATTCCCAGGTCCTGGGGATTTGGACACACACATCTTTAGGGAGGGCATTATTCTGTCTATTACAAAGTGTATGCTGGAATACTCAGAATTTGTAAATGCTATTTTACATCATTATGTAAATTATTAAATATTATTTGACATTTAAGTTATTAAATATTATTTAATAGAAATTATTAAAATTATATTTGAGGTTTAAATTACTGAGTATGTCATACTGTCACCAGCTAGACCAAGCCCTGGCTTATACAGCCCACCTGCTTGTACTCACTAACCTTTGTCTTACAATTTTCCTGAAGCTCTTCTTTCTGGCTTTCCTTGACTCAGGCCAATGAAACCCGAAACCACCCCCCCAGATGAAGGCCACTGCCCTGACAAGACCTCACTCAGGCCCAGACCACCCAGCCCCTTTGAGCTAAACCTGCCTGTTCAGACAGACCATGGAGTGACCCCTGGAATGACCTATAATTACCTTTACCTCATTATAACACTAAAATTTCTGCCCAAAGAGGAGCCTCAGCCTCATTTATATAACATACCACGTATGTATAGACACGTTTCCTTCAGGTGCATGTCTGACCTTACACCCACCTCTATACAGGATAACAAGACTTTCCTATCTAAATATTCACCCTAATCCTAGACAAAAGGAACCCATCCACCCTTTCTCAGGGAGTCACGACTTTGGAAGCCATTCCCTACGATCTCCTTATTTGCTGCAAATAAAAGTTTTCTTTGTGGGACAACTCCACCTGGTGCAGTTTCTGACTCCACAAGGAGGGAACTCACATTGGTTCTGTTACAATATCAAGAGGTCTTGGGCAGGACTGAGTAGGAGAAGAGAGTAGAGCTCCAGTCTATGACCTGTGACCTCTGATTTGAACAAGCCATTCATTTGCTAAAAGGCAGGCTTTTTCTCATGCCTCCTCCATCCTTGTTCTTTCATACACTTTGCTCTTCAGAGTTCTTGGGAACTGACAAGTTTACCAAATATTTACATTCCCAGGTCCATGGCTATCTCCCCCCGCCCCAACCATCACCCTTTATCCCTCACCCTCTGATTGACAAAAATAACATTTATTAGGCTCTTGTTATGTACCAAAGACTAAGTACTTCTTTTATTCTTACAGCAATTTCATTTTTATCCCCATTTTGCAGATGAGGAATCTGAAGCTCACCACTGCCTAAAGTCACACAGCTGTAAGGAGCAGAGCTGGTATTCAAACCAGATTGTTTCCCTCTACAGTCCATCAAGATGTAGCATTCAAGGAAAGAGAAGGTGAAGCACGAAAGCTAACAGCCTGTTTAGTTAAGACAAAACAAAAAACAAAAAACTAGCAAGTAGAAACCAGAATGATCTACATAGGTCCAACTTCCAATGTGCCTGCTACTCCTGGATTCCAGCCTCCATCTCCCATGAGAGGACAGATATTCAGCCACAGATTACCCTCTTCCCTGCTGTAACTCTGGACTGGAACCCAGAACAAATGGGCTCCTTTACTTATTGATGTCCTGTCTTTGAGGGAGTGATATCATCAAAATGGCAACACAAGAGACTTCAGTCTCTGTCTCCCCCACAAGGTCAACAATTAGACAGTGATCTCAAACAAATACAGCTCTGGAAGAACTCTGGGGTCCACTTAAGAAACTTTAGCAACATAGTGAACAAAAAACCTGAGAAGAACTGCACAAGAAGAGAAGAAAGCAAGCTTCATATTACTTAAGTCAACCCTTCCCCCAAGCTGGCATTGTTCAGTGCCAAGAGAAAATGTCCCAGCTAGGAAGAGTTCTCCATGCCAGGAAAGGAAGTGCAGGGAAAACCACTGGCTTCCCCAGCCTTTCAGGGGCACTGCACGGAGGTCCTGCTTCAGTTTCACTGCACTTAGAATGGCAAAGTAGAGATGTATGGAGACAGCTAGGGACAGGGAAGAAAAATAGGGGCTACCCGAATCAACCATGCAGCAGGAGCACTGGGCTTCACAATGACCTGCTCTGCAGGGAACCACAGCAGATTTCTCCACTGAAGAAATAAATGGCCACTACAGCTGCTGTGGAATTCCTGCAGATTTCACCAGCCTTTGCCCCACAGGTATCATATTTGATGCTGCCAGCTGCACCCCCTCATCCCCACCGGAGCTTAGGAACTATACTAGGGGCAGCTAGCTCGGGCCTCTGAGGCTGCACAAGGGCAAGATGCCAGGCTAGACCCCTGTGGCTGGCCACCTACCACCACGTGTGTGCTTGGGGCTCTCCCCTCCAGCTGTGCCTTCATGCGACTGCCCTGATGCCCACCACTATCTTCTCTGCAGTGCTCATGCTTGGGGGGAGACTGAAGCCACAGGAGCGTGTGCCAACAGCCTGGACCCCACCAGCTGCCAGTGAGCCCATAATTGGCCCTGGCCATTGCTACCTGTCTTGACTCTCACCACTGTGTTTGTGTCTGCAACTGGCCCCTGCCCCTATATAGGCACCTGTGGCTGGCCACCACAGACCAGTGTGTGCACGCTACCAACTCTGGCACCACCAGTGTCTGCCACCGTGCCTGACCACTGAACTTGGTGGCACTTCTAAGGATCCCAGCAGCCCTTGCAGAAGGATCACAAAGTTGTTGCTTTTGAACCCCTGAGCCAAAGAGACAACATGCAACCCCCACAAACCCGATGCAGCCACATGCCTCCAAACTTGGTGTCCTGCATCACTAGACGCAGGGTCACAACATGTGCCCCTATCCACAGATAAGTCTTCCTTTCCTGAAGTCAGTCCACAAAGTCTGGAAAAGGTGACTGCTTCTTCAAATGCACAGACACTGATGAAAGGCAACACAGACAACCAAGAATCAGGGAAACACAACTCCACCAAAGCAATATAGTCAACCTCCAGTAACTGGGCCCAAGGACCTGGAGATCCAGGAGTTGTGCAACAAGTAATTCAAAATAATTATTCCATAGATGCCTAGAGAGCTACAAGAGAACACAGATAAACAAGTTAATGATACAAGAAAACAATATAAGGACAAAATGAGAAGAACAAAGAGATAGAAAACATGAAAGAGAACCAAACAGAAATTTTGGAACTGAAGAACAAAATGACTGAACTGAAAAACTGAATAGAAAGCTTCAACAACAGACTTGACCAAGCAGAAGAAGGAAATCAATGAGCTAGAAGACAGATGAACTGAGATTCTCCAATCAGAGGAGCAAAAAATTAAAAGAATAAAGGAAAGAAGGAAGCCATAGGACTATGGGACACCATTAAGAGAAACAATGCATGCATCTTGCATATGGAACATTCTCCAGCTTAGATCATATGAAAAGTCATAAAACAAGTCTTAGCAAATTTAAGAAGATTGAAACACAATTGAGAGCCCAGAAATAAACCCTCACATATATGGCCAACTAATATTTGGCAAGGGAATCAAAAATACTGAAAGGAGGAAAGGATAGTGTCTTCAATATATGGTGTTGGGAAAGCAGGATGACCACATGGGGAAGAACAAAACTGGACCCCTATCTTACATCATTCACAAAAATTAAATCAAAATGGGTGAAAGGCTTAAACATTGGAACAGAAACTGTAAAACATAGGGGAAAATCTCCCTGACATTGGTCTTGGCAATAATTTTTTGGATATGACACCAAAAACACAAGCAACCAAAGCAGAATTATTAGGTGAGAGTATGTCAAACTAAAAATCTTCTGCACAGCAAAGGAAACCATTAACAAAATGAAAAGGCAACCATTAGAATGGGAGAAGATACTTGTAAATCATGTATCTGATAAGAGATTAATGGTCAAAATATATAAAGAGCTCATGCAACTCAACAGCAACAAAATAAACCATCTGGTAAAAAATGGGCAGAGGATCTGAATAGACATTTTCCCAAAGAAGACACACAAATGGCAACAGGCACATGAAAATGTGCTCAACATCATTAATAATCAGGAAAATGCAAATTAAAACCACAATGAGCTATCATTTCACACCTGTTAGAAAGGTTATTATCAAAAAGATCAGGTATGACAAATGCTGGTGAAGACTGGAGAAAAGGGAACCCTTGTGCACTGTTGGTGGGAATGTAACTTGGTACAGCCACTATGGAAAATAGCATGGAAGTTCCTTGATAAATTAAAAACAGAACTACCATATGATCCAGCAATCCTAGTTCTGGGTATATATCAAAAGGAAATGAAAACAGGATCTCAAAGAGATATGGGCACTCCCATGTTCATTGCAGCATTATTCACCATAGCCAAGATATGGAAACAACTTAAATGTCTGTCAATGGATGAATGGATAAAGAAGATACGGTATTATTCAGCCATGAGAAAGAAGGAAATCTTGCTATTTAGGACAACATGGACGAACCCTGAAGGCATTATGATCAGTGAAATAATTCAGATAGAGAAAGACAAATATTGTATGATCTCATGTATATGTTGAATCTAAAGAAGTGGAACTCAAAGAAACAGAGAGTACAGTGGTGGTTACTAGGGGCTGGGGGTTGTGGGAGATGGGGAGATGTCAGTCAAAGAGTATAAACTTCCAGTTAGAAGATGAATAAGTTCTGGGGATCTGATGTACAGCATCGTGATTATAGTTATTATAGTGTATTATATATCTGAAAATTGCCAAGAAACTAGATCATAAGTGTTCTCACCGCAAAAAAAGGAATGATAATTCTGTGGTGTGATTTAGGTGTTAGCTAATACTATGATGGTAATCAAGTTGTAGTATAAGTGTATCAAGTCAACATATTGTACATCTTAAACTTACACATGTTGCATGTCAATTATATCTCAATAAGGCTGAAGAAAATGATGTGTCTTTGGGTAGGTCATTTGTCACCTTTGTATCTATTTCTTCCTCTATAAAATGGCAAGAGTTATTTTTATTGTTATGGACATTTACAGAGCACTCACTGTGTGCCAGGCATGATTCTTTGCACTTTAATATATTAGTCCAATTGATCCCTAAAATAACCCTTTGGCGATAAATACTGTTATTATCTTCATTTTACGGAAGAAAAGCTGACACACATGCAGAGGTTATATATAACTCATTTTAGGATTATAGTTTGTGAGTGGCAGAACTGGAATTAAACACAGAGTCTGGACCCTCTGGGCAAGCAAGTTCTACTCTGCTTACCCCACGGTAAGGTTGTGAGGGCCTTACAAAGGTTCCTTCCTTCCTTCCCTCTTTCCATCCTCACTTACTCTTACCTACCTCAAAGGGCTGTAGTGACATTAAGTATGCTATTCTATGTAAAGCACTCAAACTGTGTATGGTGTGTGGTAGCTGCTCTGGAAGTGTCCATTCTTACCATCAGGGTTGTTGCTGGGGTGAGCCCAGGCCCAGACCTATGGGTAGCCAAGTGGGGCAGCCACTGAGGAGGACAATTCCAGTGTTGAGAGTACAACAGAGTCCCTGGGGCAATAACGATGGCCAAGACTTAGACCCTGAGCAGAGTCCAGGAAGTGGTCAGTGTGCTGTGGACCTAGAGAGAGGAACATAAATGTGGCAGGAGGAATTGAAGGATAAAAACAATACCAACAAACCTGGTGCTTAGCGTGTGGTGCCCCTTGTCGGTACGTTACACACATTAGTACATTTACTCCTTCCAGGTGGCATCATTAGCAACCCCATTTTACAGGTGAGGAAACTAAAGCATAGAGGGGTCAGGAAACTTGCCAAGGTCCCAGAGCCCACGCACACACAGCACAGAGAAACTTCATTTACTTAATATTTAAATTAACTCACTTTGACCTAAAAAAATGTAAAACAAACTTTATTTCACTATAGTCATTGGAAAATCAGTATCAAGACAAAATAAATACCATGAAAAGAAACAATATTATTAAATCCTCTACCCACTGATTCAACTGCCCAAGGGCTTTCAAGTCAAGGCCTATTCTCTTAAGGGGAGGCTGGCAAATGTTAGAGAGGAATTAACAACATATTAGCACCAAACTAGGACTTTCTCGTTGGTGTAAAATCAGAAGGATTGAAAGAGAAGTAAGAAAGAAAGAACTTTCTCACCATGTGATAGAAAGTGATTTAGGGACTCATCCCTGCATCTCCTGAAATCTCACTTAGGGAAACTGGTGATGGTCAAGAGCACAGACTCAGAAGACAGACTAACCCCTTTCACCCCTTGCTGGCTATCCTGTACTGGACAATAATCCCTCTAAACATCGGTTTCCTCATCAGTAAAATAGCTGTTACTTCACAGGAACCTTGACTATAAATGAAAGAATGAAGATTATGCACAAAATCTAATACACAGTAAATGCTTAATACACATAAGCCATTACCATTGTCATTATTATTAAGCTTTGCCCCTAAGTCCCTGGCTTTTTAAAAATTTATTTATTTTATTCTTTAGTTCGATAGTGCTAATAATAAACATTATAGTACACACATAATGGTCACTATATGCTTGGCTCTATTCCAGGTTTTACAAGTACATATAACCTAATATATATGTATATGCCCTAACATATGTTAAGAATTATTATTACCCCTATTTAATCTACTGTGATAACTTATTCTTATCCCTAGGTTCCTACAGATAGTTTTTACCCTGAGGGACGCAAAGTCGATCCACGGGACACTCCCGGAGGACTCCTTTGCCCACTTTCTTCCGGTTAGATCCCAGGACCAAAAGGCGCGCGGGGCGGACGCGGAAGGATGCACACCCTCCTCCCCGCCTGGCTCCGCCCTCAGCGTCTGCTCGTAGCCCTGCCTCTGACGCAGCGCCTCTTCAGGCTCGGGCACCACTTGGGCCGGCGCGCTGACGTCACGGGGCGCGCCTCCTGCGCCTCCTCGCGCCTGCGCCGCGGGCGGAAGGTCGTCCCTGTGACCGGCTCGGCGTTTGGAGAAGCTGTCGCCATGTTGTCGGTGGCCTCCCGTTCGGGCCCGTTCGCGCCCGTCCTATCGGCCACGTCCCGCGGGGTGGCGGGCGCGCTGCGGCCCCTGGTGCAGGCCTCGGTGCCCGCCACCCCGGAGCCTCCAGTGCTGGACGTGAAGCGGCCCTTCTTGTGCCGAGAGTCGCTGAGTGGCCAGGCCGCGAGCCGGCCTTTGGCCGCCTCCGTGGGCCTCAATGGTGAGCCGGGCTGAGGGGACCCCTTTTTCTCGCTCCCTCTTGCTCTGGACCCAGGGCACACCCGAGGAGGGCGGGGAAGTGGAGCGGAGCCCTGCTTGGGGGATTAAGTTTCCGGGCTGGGTCGACCTTGGGCAATCATCTGCACCTCCCGGGCCTCCGCTCTCACCGGTGCACGGACGCAGCTGGGGTGAGCGATCGCAGGTGACCTCCGGCCCTGGCCTCCCGTGCCTCTGAGGGATTGTTTCCGTTGGCGACCAGTCTGGGTAAACCACAGGCCAAATTTTGTACTTCACAGGATAAATTCAAGAACTCTGACGGCCGACCGTTTCAGCAAAGTCTGACAGATTTTGTTGCTTACAGGTCGTTTGACTTTGGGCAGATTTCTAAACGTGTTGCCTTACCAGTGAAATGGGTGAATGATTATACCAGTTTCGTAGGTAATGTCGTGAGTTTCAGATGGAAAAATTTACATAAAGCCATTAGCACATTTTGGGGCACTTTATACATGCCCAAAAAATAGGAACTGCTATTAATATTTGGGACGTTGTCCCGTTTCCCACCACCTGATCCCTTCAGTGCCCTTCTCTTTCACGCCCCCTCCCAACAACAACAACACACTAACACATGCCCCAAGGTCATTAATGGTGTAGAGTATTAGCAGCGTTTTCATTTGGTGGGCCGTTATTTTCACACTGTAATCAGTTTATTCCTCAAGAAGAGCAACAGGCAGAGGTTGATTTGAAAGACTGAGTTAGCCATCAACTCTCACCGAATCCTTCTCTATCTTTTGTGGCTTGTGTTCCATTTCTTTTTTCAGGCTCCGGATTGGAAATCCTGAAGTGGCAACCTGTAGGCCAGTGTGCCTGTAGTCTGCCCAACCTGCATAGTTTTAAAAGGAAGACGTCTTGTGTGTCTTAAAATGTTGGAATCTGGCAACACTGAACTCTAGTTTCTACATGGGAAAAGTCTAGTGTGCTGTGCACTGGCTGCCCTCTTAGTTGAGGCAAGCGCTCTTCCAGTTCATCACAGTCCTCACCAGACCTACTTCATTGTGTTACCTTCCTGGCCCCACTGACAGTTGATTTGGCAAGTAGGACAAGTAATGCTTGCCCTACAACTAAGTTGCCCCCATTCTTTATTCTTCCTCTATTCACCCTGTTCTCTACTGTAAAATAATCCACTCCATTTTTCATATTTCCAAGTCTTACCAGGTCAATCTCTGTTCAGGATCAGGTCAATAAAATCTTTTATTTGCTGATTCCTTTATGCTTTATAGTACATAACACTTTCCACTATTGTGTTTCCTGGTGACTCCCCTGACCTTGTGCTTGAGGGCATAGAGAAAAATCTCCTTTATTTTTCTATTTCCTACAACCTCAGATTTTGCATACAGTTCAGAATATTTGTGGATGAATAAAATGGTTTTTTTTTTTTTTTTGTTAGGGGGCACCGGTGGGTTTTGGAGACATTGTTCAGGGCATGAACAGAGTACACTAGCCCACCCTAAGCCTATTCTTTGGACCTGGAGGTGAGAAACAATAAGGGAGGAGAAAATTTCAACAGCAAAGGCAAAAAGGATCTTTGGAATTTGTCTAATGGCTAAAGGGTTTTTTCTAAAAATTAGAGGCTTACCTGACTTTTCCAAGAACTGGTAAATAATACAGAACCATAAGGCAAACTTTTTCTGTGATCATGTCTTCAGCTTGTAGCTTCAGTTCACATTAAAATCTCCTGTCTAGGGGCGCCTGGGTGGCTCAGTTGGTTAAGCGACTGCCTTCGGCTCAGGTCATGATCCTGGAGTCCCAGGATCGAGTCCCGCATCGGGCTCCCTGCTCAGTGGGGGGGTCTGCTTCTCCCTCTGACCCTCTTCCCTCTTGTACTCTCTCATTCTCTCTCTCAAATAAATAAATAAAATCTTTAAAAAAAAAAAAAATCTGTCTAGATGGTTTGTGGAAAGATAGTACTGAGGGTGTGAGAGGGGAGGATTCGATCAGGAGGATTCGATGAGGTAAGGAAGATTTCCAGGGCACATCAGAGTTCACCTTAAAAGAAAAAACAAAAACCTGTTTTGTTATAATCCCTTACGTTTTCTGTTTCTAGAAGTATCTGATTCTACTCGAGTTTAGATCTAGCTAGCATTTTTGCTGCTAAAGTCACACCTAATAAGAGTTAATGTAAGTTACTTAGAGAATGACTGTCACAATATGGCAGTTTAATTTCCCAAAGTGTTCATGGTGGTGTAGTATGATATAAAGTGTAACCTGCTAGATAAAAGGGGAGTAGACAACTGGATTTCTTGGACCACCAAATCTCCGGAAGAGAATGTCAAAACCATTCTATTTAATGTTCCTATACGTTTCCTTGTATGCTGTTAACATGGTCAGGGGTTGTAGATACTGTTTTTAATGTAAAGGATGAACTTAGGTTCCTTCATCTTTTAAGTATGATACACATCTTTCCTTTGTAATCCCAGACAGTACTAAAGGAAAGTAATTCATACTTGATCCCAAACCCCAGTCTACACTGACAGGTTTAGCATTAGGGAGAGGTAGAGTAGTATATAATGCAATGTCACTCTGCCATAGTTGTGAATCTCAGGTAGTCACTACCCATGTCCTGATCCCCTCCAAAAAATGTTGGGTTAGTCAGAAAAGTACATAGAATAATGTTGATAGGTTACCATTCTTTATGAATATAGTTGGCCCTTGAACAGCATGGGTTTGAACTGCACAGGTCCACGTCTGTGTGGATTTTTATATATATATAAATATGGTACAGTACTGCATATGTACTTTATGATTTTCTTAATAACATTTTCTTTTCCCTAGCTTATTTTAAGAATGCAATATATGATACATGTATATATAACATACAAAATATGTGTTAATTGACTGGTAAGGCTTCCAGGCAACAGTAGGCTGTTTTGAGGGAGTCAGAAGATAACAGAATTTTGATTGCATGTGGGCTTGGTACCCCAGAATCCTTTGTTGTTCAAGGGTGAATTGTACTTAGGGCTTCCATTGTTATTGACCTTGAGAACCACGTGAAGGTAGTTGATATAGTCTTTATTGTAATGTTTAACTGTTGAAGAAGTATATTAGGATGAGACAGCCTAGTAGACCAAGTAGAATTGCAACTTATATGAAAATGCATTTTATAAGTACATATTTCTTTTAGAAACAACACATTTTCTCAGTGAGGAATTTTTAGTGTCCCTCTTCTAAAAAGGAAACCTTGTGGCAAATTTCCTAAAATGCATATACAATTTGCAAAGAGATTTGCTTCCTGAAACATACTTAAAAGTGATGCCAGTAAGTTCATTTTTTTGTCAGATATTTCAAAATGGTATGGGACAAAGGACATAATATGTTTGTTGTTTTTTTTTTTTTTTTTAACAAAACTGGGGTGCGTGAGTTACTCAGTTAAGCATCTGCCTTCAGCTCAGGTGATGATCCCAGGACCCTGGCATGGAGCCTCCCTTGGGCTCCCTGCTCAGTGGGAAGTCTGTTTCTCCCTCTCCCCCTCCCCCTGCTTGCACATGCTCTCTCTCTTGCCTCTTTCTCTCTCTCTCTTGCTCACTCAAAGAAATAAAATCTTAACAAAACTACTTATATTCAACATACTACATAAATAGTAATTATTTGTTTATTTAACATTCGTTTGACACAAAGATCTGGCCTATTTAATTGGCCTGCAGTAGTAGTGTTTCAGTTGAGAGACCCACACCAGTGAAAAAGGAAGATAATGCCTTTACGCTTATAGAATTTATTGCCCTTGACTGAAAAGTGGGATATATGAAAATTTTGCTCTTTTATCCTGCACTAAATTGAAATAATTGGTTCTTTTGGATATTTCATTTGATGGTTGCATATTTTGATAAGGATGTTCTTTTTTGTCTATTAGTGGCTTTACTTGAAGTTAAAGTAATACTGATTTATGCTCCAGAGTATAAAATAGAAATCTCTAAATTTTCTGCAACTAAAGCTGACAGTTCACAGAATGTTTATTATCTTGTAATAAGTATTTCATGAATTTTTAGCAGTTCTTTCAGCAAGTAGGTAGATAGGAATGTAAAGTTAGACATTTGGTTTAATAAGATGGTCACAAATCAACTTATTGGGTAGACTTAAGGAGTTTTAGGGTCCCTTGTAATCCAGAGAATGCGAGAGGTAGTTACCATAATTTTATGTCTCGGCAGGTTGAATTTTCAGGGATTTTAAAATATTGCTGTTTACAGTACTGTTTAACTTTTTAGATTTGATGCACTAAATTGTTAAGAATTCTGAATCAGTAGTGTTCAATCACGAGAAACTCAGTTTACACGTATAATCTTGTGATTTCTTACCAGTATGATAGGTAGTGATTGACCTCATTTCTTTTTCAGTATTTTATATGCTGGCACTGCCAACTTGACAATTTCTGAGATCAGTGAGTGCCATATTTCACATTTTTATAACTTGATTTTTGCTTATGAATTCACAAAGGTTATTTCCTGATGTATGTCCCTTTCACGGTACTCATCTAATTGTGTTTTTTAACTTTGTTTATTTCGCAGTCCCAGCTTCCATTCGTTATTCCCACACAGACATCAGAGTGCCTGACTTCTCTGACTATC